TTCCTTCCTTAATTTCAAATGTATAAAAGAAACTACAAAACTGTCATTTTCTGGAGCACTTGGGATATTGCTTCCTGGCAATTGTCATAACTTTTGGCTCAAACAAACTCTTACAAAAATTCTCTACAGGTTTAGACGTTTCTTATGTCCACAGTACTGTTAAAGAGAAAAACCACAGGCTCAAAATAGCAGCAGTCCGGCTGAAAGCCCATGATACCAAATCTAGATTTAATACCTGATCTAATTGTAATTGTAACCTTTGCTAGAAACATAATCAACCATTTTGGAATTTTCTGGTCAAGCACCAGTAAGGTAATCTCTCAAGTGGGCCTTCTCCAAGCCCCACAGGAAGGGGAGGCAATGTGCATGACAAAACCCTTCCCCTTCTCTCCCCCAATGACAAGTTGTCCCTGCCTGAAAATAATCCTTTCTTTTCTTTTGCTCACTTGCCACACCCTTCCTATAAAAACCTTCCATTTTGTACAACTCCTCAGAACATCCTTCTAGTTGCTAGCTGGGATGCAGGCTGATTTATGTATAGCTTCATAAAGCCAATTAGATTTCCAAATTTACCCCTTTGAGTTTTGTTTCTTAAAAGACTCAATGTGCCCTGTATCAATACTTCGATGTTCTCAGTAATACTCATGTTCTCAAAGGTACCTGCACGGTTAATCGGGTGTTATGCACACTGAGTTTTGCTAGGAGGTGTGAGAAAAGAATAAGTATTTATATATATATATATATGCAAAGGATTATTGAAATGACAAAGTATAAAATCTCAGCTGAATGATAAGGAAAAATAAAGAAATGAGTGGACGAAAGTACAGAGATTGTAGAAGAGTAGAATCTGTCATCCAAAAATTATGTCTCTTTGGCACAACAGTTACTTTAGGCTGGTTAATTTTAAGAAAGAGCAGAAATGGAGGAAGCTCTGAAAACCAAGTAGAAATTACCTTTTGTAAAGGAAATGTATATTTGTAAGGGAAATCTCCACGTGTAAGGTTGTGTCTCTCCGGTACCAGGAAGAGGGGGTGATCCTATCTCAAGGAACTCTTATCAGTGGAGAAGGCAAGGATTTAAGTCTGTAGAACAACCATTCTCCTGTTTACTGTGCTTTTCCTGATAACCTCTCATAACTGACTCCCCACCCCCAACGTCTTATTTAGTCTTTAGTTGAAGATGATATTTAAGGTGATGGTTTCTCCCATTTTGGCAAGTTACTCGGTGTTCCTGGATCTCTGCCATGTATATAGGAGGTATATATTTTCTTATTTTATTTTATTATTACTATTTAGTGTATGTTTTTAAACTTGAATTTGTTTTTCTCCTACTAATCTGTCTCATTAGCCAGAGCTTAGAAGGGTAAGAGGAAATTGCCCCCCGCCCCCCACAGGATTAACATACTACTGTCTTTGAAGAGGTAGATATAGCTAAAGTTGCCGATGAATTCATCCCTGGCTACCTTAATAAAGCAGAAGGCTAGGTTTTCCATAAAGAATCAGATCTGGGATATAATGTAATCTGAACATCTTTCTAAGGTACAGGCTATCCCTTTTAATACATGAAATGTTTGTTTGAGAGTCAAATTCACAAGTTCACACCAAAGTTTGCATTTGTTTTTGTAAGAAACAGGCATGGAAGAATTGTTTTTAAAATTTACTGAAATGCATATTCTCAAATGCACGTTCCCTAAACAAAAGCATCCAGCTATTTGCTAAAGTAATTACTAGTTCAAGTTGGGTGGCCTTAAGCTTTTCATCTAAAAGTTCCAACCAGCTCTGATTCTGCACATCAAATAACATTTGGTGTGGGTATACAAACACATATATGGATAACCAATTAACATTATATATGAAGCCACAGTAGTATGCATTCCTTTATAATGAAAGGCACAATTCACTGTTTTAAAAAAGAACAAAAATAAACAAACACAATAAAGACCCTTATCCCCAAGTTTAACTTTCTTGTGTAATTTGACTAAGGTCCAAGATTATTTTTTTGTTCCTAAAAACCCTTGGGCTTCTTAAATAAAGTTAATAATAGTTTTTGAAAACGTGATTACCTTTCCTCAAAGGTAGTACATAGCGGGAGAAATAGCAAATGGAGGTGGTACCATCATGTTGGTGAATAGATAATAAAAATATTTCAAAACTGTTTAATGGCTTAATAAGTTTACTTTTAAAAAATACCTAAGATCCATTCTAAATTAATGATATTAACTTGGTTTGAGAAGAGGAGCTGAGATGAAATGATAAGATAAAAAGTAATTACTAGGTATATCATGAGACAAATTTACTTCCTATCTTTTTTTTTTTTAATCCTCACCCAAGGACATTTTTTTTCATTTTTTGTTCAGATAGAGTGGGAGGGAGAGAGAGAGAGAGAAACATCGACGTGAAAGGTAAACATTGAGTGGCTGCCACCCACACAACCCAACCAGGGTTGGGGACAAACTGCAACCGAGATACATGCCCTTAGCAGGAACCGAACCCAGGTCTCTCCGGACCGCAGGCCGACGCTCTAACCACTGAGAAAACGGGCCAGGGCTACTTCCTATTCTTATCTATCAGATTCTCCTTACTCAAGTAAACATCTGGAAAGCAGGCAAGAGAATTCAACCATAAAGTAGGTTTTCTGTTTGTTTGTTTGTTTGTTTTTGTCTTATACTAATAGAATAACTTTGTCCATTAATTCCTGAATTGATTTCTGTAACCCTGGAATTTGCTAAAATTGCAATACAGAAAGGAAATAACTGAAATTTTGGATTTACATTAAAAAAAAATTTCTGGGCCAGTTTTTCTATAACCTGTTAACATCTGACAGTGTTCAGCAAATAGATTATGCCTCTGTTCAGTGAACTGGTCTGCACTTAATGATTTGTTTATTTAATGGAAGACTATTGTTCTTCCTTGGAAATGTAATATATCAAAATAATATTTGTTGAGACTAGCAAAGCACTTACCCTCAGTGGACATCAGCCAGTGAGCAGTAATGCATGCAATGGGAGAAGAGGACCCTCACACACTCAGACCTCAGAGAGTCTCTGGTTCAACCCTTTCATTTTACGTAGGAGGAAACTGAAACCTAGCAGAAGTGGTCTGCCAAAATTTGCACAAGTACTTATAAAATGGACCGGGACCAGAGCTCAAGTTTCATATTCCATAGCCAATAATCTCTCCTCCAGCTGATGAACATAATAACAAGAGTACCATTTTTGGAACAGTTTAGCTCCATACAATCTCATAGTTTAACAGCCCTTCCAACATATTAGAGAATTAAACTTGATAATTGGAAATTAGCACTACAAAAGGATTTGTTACTTTCCCATTCTGAAGACATCATAGATATCATGAATAAAGAATGTAGATTTATAAACTTATAATTCAAACTTATATATAACCATTCAAGGCATCATGTCTACTGAGACTATGAATCAACACAGTGGGAAGCGAAAGTGTAATTGTTTAAATGGCTTTCAACTATTTCCTATTTATAAACTTATGATACGTTTTCACTTTTTTTTTGGCTTAAACAATAGAGAATATTGTTAATTCCACTATAACCATAAAGTATTCAGATAAAATAAGAATGTGCTATATATCCTGTTAATAGGCTACATTTGCAAGATTTTAACTTTACAATCTGTTGTTATATTGCTACCAGAAAAAGATCATAGGTTCTTCCACAGTGTCCGTGGGAAAAGAATTGCAGGGGCTCGTGCGCTGAAGGATTTTAAAAGACACTGCGAGATTTACTAGGGCACCGTTGAAAAGGCTGCCACACTCCACAAGGCGCTCCCCAGGTGAGTCCAGCCGCAGAAGCTGGTTGCCATTGGCGGTCGCCCCCAGATGCACCGCGCCTGATGGCTCATCCTCCACCGTCTGGTTCAGCTCCATCTCCCAGCAGAAGTCTAGCTTCCAGGGCAGCAGGCCGGCACTTGGGCCCACCACGCTCAGGAGAGTCCACAGGGCCCAGGGCCGCATCACTCCAGCACCTAAGGCTGACCTTGGGCAAGTAACTTAAATTCACTGTTCCTCATTCCCTCTCTGCAGGTCCGCCACCAGGCTCAGCGGCGCCCCGGGCCGCTGCCATCAGCACTGCGCTCTGGTCAGTGGGGCCTTGGTGAAGCTTCCTTATATTTCCTTGGGCTTGGGAGAGAGCAGGCTTCCTTTCAAAGTATCCAGTCTCTTTCCTGGCTTACCTGGGCTTGCTTCGTTATCTATCCTATTTTTTCTCCCCGGATTGTTTCCTCTGCTTTATGGTCACCATTTAGGCTTCTACTGCAAATGTGTTTATGAAAGGACTTCCGCTGCAAACACACACTCCCAAACCCCCCAACCCCAGTTAGTGGGGTGGACTCCTGGGGTCACTGTAAAGCCTCTTTCCTGCCTACTCCGACGCCCAGACTGTGAGAATGTCCTTTCCCTGTTGATCTAGCTGGTTCCATTTGCTCCCTTCCTTTTGTTAATACCTAATTAGCTGCCTACACTAACAATATGCTGTAGAGGGCAAACTTCACAAGGAACAGCTGTGACATATTTATGGCTGTAACCTTTATATATTGCTTCATCAACTTTGGATGCAAAGTGAGGTCTCATGTTACATAATATGGCAATTAAAAGACCTAAGACACCATCCTACATAAATTTTGCTTCTTCCTATTCTTTTTTATTGTTTAAGATTTTTTAAAATTGATTTTTAGCAAGAATGGAAGAGAGATGAAGAGAGAAACATCTATGTGAGAGCAAAACATCTATCGGCTGCCTCCTGCTAGGGATTGAGCCCACAACCTGGGCATGTGCCCTGACTGGGAACCAAACAGGCAACCTATTGATGGTGGCGGGGGAAGGAGTTTCTTCCCATTCTTATCTTTCTTGCGATGCATTGAATAGTCACCTGGGAGTACTTACTAAGTCCTGGTCACTGTCAGTATGTAGAGAGGAAACCAAATAATTCCATCTATCCACCAGAATCCCATACAATTCAGTCCATCCACCAGAATGCCATACAATGCAGTCCATCCACCAGAATGCCATACAATGCAGTCCATCCACCAGAATCCCATACAATTCAGTCCATCCACCAGAATGCCATACAATTCAGTCCATCCACCAGAATCCCATACAATTCAGTCCATCCACCAGAATCCCATACAATTCAGTCCATCCACCAGAATCCCATACAATTCAGTCCATACAATTCAGTCCATCCACCAGAATCCCATACAATTCAGTCCACCCACCAGAATCCCATACAATTCAGTCCATCCACCAGAATGCCATACAATGCAGTCCATCCACCAGAATCCCATACAATTCAGTCCATCCACCAGGATGCCATATAATTCAGTCCATCCACCAGAATGCCATACAATTCAGTCCATCCACCAGAATCCCATACAATTCAGTCCATCCACCAGAATCCCATACAATTCAGTCCATCCACCAGAATCCCATACAATTCAGTCCATCCACCAGAATGCCATACAATTCAGTCCACCCACCAGAATCCCATACAATTCAGTCCATCCACCAGAATGCCATATAATTCAGTCCATCCACCAGAATGCCATACAATTCAGTCCATCCACCAGAATCCCATACAATTCAGTCCACCCACCAGAATCCCATACAATTCAGTCCATCCACCAGAATGCCATACAATTCAGTCCATCCACCAGAATGCCATACAATTCAGTCCATCCATCAGAATGCCATACAATTCAGTCCATCCATCAGAATCCCATACAATTCAGTCCATCCACCAGAATCCCATACAATTCAGTCCATCCACCAGAATCCCATACAATTCAGTCCATCCACCAGAATCCCATACAATTCAGTCCACCCACCAGAATCCCATACAATTCAGTCCATCCACCAGAATGCCATACAATTCAGTCCATCCACCAGAATGCCATACAATTCAGTCCATCCATCAGAATCCCATACAATTCAGTCCATCCACCAGAATCCCATACAATTCAGTCCATCCACCAGAATCCCATACAATTCAGTCCATCCACCAGAATGCCATACAATTCAGTCCATCCATCAGAATCCCATATAATTCAGTCCATCCACCAGAATCCCATACAATTCAGTCCATCCACCAGAATCCCATACAATTCAGTCCATCCACCAGAATCCCATACAATTCAGTCCATCCACCAGAATCCCATACAATTCAGTCCATCCACCAGAATCCCGTACAATTCAGTCCACCCACCAGAATGCCATGTTGGTACTGTGGGTAGTGCGGCATCGCTGTTGGAAGCAGCAGCTGCCGTGGCCCAGATGTTCCTGCTGCTGGCAGTATCCAGGCACATTCCATCAGAGCGCATCACTGAGACATTCTAATGCAGGCCCTGCCCTCTACTGAAATATCTCATGTCACCTGAGCATAATTCATAACCAAAACCAAAGTCCAGTAAAATTCCTTCCTACTGAAAAAGCACTTGGTGACCGAGCAGCATGCCGTGACACTGTAACAGTAGTTTCTCACTGTGTCTTCAGGACGCAGACAGCACAGCCTCCTGTCCCAGGGCTGGATGTAACTTGGGCTCTTTCACCAACATCACAGCCCTACACACCTAATATTTGGGCATATGTACACACACACACACATATATACACACACATACATATATATAATTTAAAATTATTAATTTAATTTTGTTAATTGGGCTCTTTCAGTTTACTCAAGACCTGTCTACAAAGTCAGTGTGGGAAGACCAGGCAGAGTCTTCATTTCAAGCTCATGACTTGCCTGGAAGTGGTATTTCCTTACTGTGAGCCATCCGCCCTGGTGCCTGACTCCTGTCCTCCCATAAGGCCCACCTGTACACTAACGCACTTTTTTATTCCCACAATTCTCCTTTTTCTTCCCATTATTATTTATTTCTTTTATTTTGAAAATATTTTAATTTAGAAACAACCCCAAAATGTGTTTTTTTTTTATTTTAAAATTAATTTAAAAATAGCCCCAAGATGGTTTTTTTGGGTTTGTTTTTGTTTTATTAAGTTATCTTAATTTTCCCATGTCATTTTCTTTCCTACTGGATCATTCACGACAGTACACAAATATAATATTCTAATAATTCTTTTCTTCTCTTGATCCTACATCTCCCTCTGTTTACATATCATTTTGTTGGTTCTCCTTTATGGCAAAAAGGATTGTGGATTCTCAGTGTCTCTAAGCCAAGTCTTCCTTAAGGTGGCTTAATGTCTACATGACTATAGATTTATAAGTGGTTGCCACCTTTTTGAAATGTTTTTTATTGCTTTTAGAGAGAAAGAAAGGGGGAGAGAGAGAGAGAGACATCAGTGTGAGAGAGAAACACATCTATCTGTTTCCTCTCATACATGCCCCAACCAGGGATCAAACCCGCTACCTAGGTATGTGCCCTTACCTGGAATCAAACCTGCAGCCTTTGGTGTATAGGATGATGCTCCAATTAACTGAGTCACCCAACCTGGGCTAAGTGGTTGCCATTTTTAATAGCAGTTTTGCCATCTTTTTTAAAAAAGAAGAAAGTATGATTCAATCTGTTAGGCTCTGTGCTATGAAAATAAAACAAAACAAAATTTATATCAAATAATTTATCTTACATAAATCTGTTGACAAACATGTGTAGGGGGTTTATCGCTGATGCTTTCTTGGAAATAAAATGGGCAGCAGAGACACAGTGTACCTCCCTTTGCCACCATGCAATCAACCCAAATTCTTTTTTTTTTTCTTTCTTCGTTCAATATTAACTAATATTTATTAAAAACCTACTCTGTGTTTGACCTTATGATGGCCACAACAGTACACAAATAGAAAGACATTGCCTCATCCCTGACAGTTCTCATGGTCTACACAAAAATAGATATGCCAATAGCATGCATAACCAGTAAGACACAAAGTATTGTAGGAACAGGGAGTTGATAAATACAGGATAAATAGGCAGAGTAGTATAGAGTGGATATTCAAAGAGGAGAAAACAGCATTTGCAAATGCAAAGGAGAGGGTAGGGCTGGACACAAAATGTGTAAGTTGCTGCCTGTTTCTGAGATAGTGCTTGAAGCTGAAATGAGCAGGAAATGCGCAGCAGGAAGGTATGGGCCGCATCTTGACAGGATTCTGTATTATGTTAGTTTGATTATATCTTGTAGGTCAGTCATTCACAAATGGACAACGGCTCTGGGGAGAAAACAGGAGAATCACGTGGGAATCCTTTTCCAAAATACACATGGTCACCATATGTGTTTTGAAAAATGTCTCAGATGATTGATACAGCATCTTCTCCTTCCATTTAATTTGAAAAATCACTACTGTGGATTATGGACAGCCATTGATGAATTCTGAGCAAGAAAATGATTAAAGAGATTGCTTGATATTCAGAGTATAAGACCTCCATGGACATTGAGTATCACTTCTTGCCCAATTCCTACCTTCTAACTATATTTAACACTTTGACTCTTCAACCCCCAGGACAGATCCAACTCCATAACACAGTAAGCAGAAATGCAAATATTTTTCAGAAAATTTTATAAGCAAGTGAAGAAGATAATTTGATGCACACAATAGAAACAACAAAAAATTCACATTAGATGTCGTTATTTCTCTCCACAGCCATTTTCTCATTATTCCTTTCTTATTCCCTATTTTCTAAAAAATCCTTTCTATCAACCTGAACAATTTAATTTTTACCCTCAATTTGTAGACCCTAGTCAGAGAAACAAAAACTTGCAGTCATATATTTTTCTTCAATCATTTCTTTTCTTAGTCTCACCCCTCTGTTCCAAGTAGTTTACCAAATTGTGGAAATCTTTTCCTATGTTTTGTATTGTTTTGTTTTTAAAAAAGGAGGAATTAGCACTGTTTTTCCCCTTTATTTATTTTAGAGAGAGGAAGGGAGAAGGAGAGAGAGATAGAAACATCGATGAGAGAGAACATCAATTGGCTGCCTCCTGCATGCCGCCCACTGGGGATCAGGCCCACAACCTGGGCATGTGCCCTGACCAGGAATCGAACCAGCGACCTCTTGGTGCATGGCTCTCTGCTCAACCACTGAGCCACACCACACCGGCCGGACCCTTTGTTTTTATATATGTTAGAAACATCATCATAATCACTCATTCATTAATTTTTATCAACATTTCTTGAGTACCTACTATATGCCCATCTCTCTTAATTCACAGCTACTATCTAACTATATATCTCCAAATTATAAAAATGTTCTCATAACAGTGAAAAACAACCATAAAAATACAAAATTAACTCTTTTGTCAATTATGGAAGAACTATTGTGAGCTTTGGAAAAAAGCTTTTTCAAAGGATAGCCTTGCCCTTTGCATATAGTTGTTTTTTAATGAAAATGTTGAGACTTCCATTGTCTCCTGCCCTCCTGCCTAGAGATAGAAAAATGAGATTGCTTTCCTTTCTGCCCTTCTGTCACACAAATAACAGATGCCCCCTAATTATATACAGGCTTTCCATCAGCTTTAAAAAGGAGAGTTTAATTCCTTTCTACATATAGGAAATGTATCCAAAAAAGTTAACAAGTTTTGATTTCATAATTCTTATAAATATTTCACATCTCTAAATATAATAAGTGTATAATAAGCACAGTAAAACAAGGGCATCCATCTAGTTGTAAGTATCTTCTCAACCAAGGATAGAAGGTTGAAATTCTTCTCGTGTCCTATTTTCAAAACGTTGCGCTGCTGATTTTGAAACTAATTTAGTGAGCCTCAGTACAGGACATAGAGAGAAACTGCATTTACTCCGAACCGTTTCCTGGAAAAATTGTTTAAACCTCCAGCAGTAAGAAATTACAGGAGGGCATTGAATTACTCCCTACTCAAATCTAATGCTCCAGTTTGGAATGTTTTCCTAGGAACTGTATTAATCCGAAGACTTCAATGTTGATATCCTTTATTTATCTATATTTATCTAAGTCAAATATTTGAACAACGCATCAAAACTATCTCTAAGACAAAGCATGCTTTTTTGAAAAAGTCCTTTTAGACACAGAATACTTTAATGTAGTCGTCTATTCTTTTCATATGATTCAATTCTGTTGGAAGATAGTAGCTTTGACTAATAGGCAACAATGTCAGGAAAATAGATGATTTAAAACTGGACTTTTATGCCAGATCTTTTTGTTTTTGTTAAAATAGTATACAGATTATGATATTTTAAAGAATAATTTAATCACATCCTTCAAACAAACAAAGACAGTCGAGAAAAGAAGCTGGGCATTTTCATCCAACACCTTCAAATTCACTGTGGACTTTCTCTCCCTCAGTCCCTTGGTCAGTAGACATAGTGGGGTCTGAAAGATGTTATTTAAATTTTATTATAAAGAAAAGACCTGACTGGACATGTGAATTGCTTTATCTAATACCACAAATGTTTATCTTTGTCTGTGAAATAGGCACATAGTAGATATAAGTTTGCCTGATTGAGTAAATAGAAATAAAGGATGTCCAATTCAATTTTATTTCAGATAAACAGATACATTTTTAGTATAAGTATACTCCATGAAACATTTGGGACATACTTTTATTTTTAAAATAAAGTATTTTCTGCAGCCTGTATTTTTTTCTGGCATGTCTAAGTACATGAAGAAAGCATTTTGTCTTTAAAGAAAAATAATTGGACAAAATGCAAACCTTATGCTGCTTTGATGTTTGCTGAGTCACTTATAAACGGAGGGCCCATCCCGCTCACATCCTGGCATAAGGTGTTTATGATTAATTTTTAAAGTTTGGACCTAGAGATCTGAGTGTTCTCAAGGTTCATGGAATTTGAGCCACCAGGATACCATAGACTTCTGTACCTGTTTGAAACTCGAAACAGTGACTAAGCAGGAGAGTCTGGTGGTTCCAATCTCATGGCCTGCACTCTCTGTTATGATCACTCATTCCCACCTCCCCTCTGAGTGCTACTGGAGAGAGTTCAGTCAAACAGCAGTGTTGAATTAATTTATTGATCTAATTTTCCAAACCCCCGTCATACACCGTCCCTTACACATCTGATTGTGCTCTGTTCCGGACCTTAGCTCAGCCCATTCAGTTTCTGGTTCCTGTAATACCTTCCACTTGCCTGTGTGCCTAGCCCAACCCTACCCTGAGCTAAGTCTCAGTTACCCCATCGAGCCTTCCTCAATTACTTCTGTCCACAGTGGTTTTCCCTCTTCCGACTTCTTCTAGCACTTGATGATTTCATCAGATAAAGATGACACACTTGTAAAGGTGCAAGTACATCTGGTTGCATACACTTGCAACCCCAACAGTCACACCCTGCTAAAGATAATTCAATATCCTCTCTTATTTTTCTCCCACTTGGGTTTGCAGAGTGAGCATCTGAA